TCTTCCTTCAGCTCCTCTGATACACCACTCAGGAAGGAATCTGAGCCCCAGCAGCAACATGAAGAAATCTTTCACCTTCTCCCTCCCCTCCAAAGAAAGGGCACCTTGTTCTCAGAGCCCTCTGAGTCACTGCTCTGCACTGGGACAGCAACAAGAGCAGAAAATCCCCATGTTTTACACAGGAGGGTGAAGAAATCCTAACAAAGCCAAACAATCCAAGCCCTGTACTGACTCAAGCCTGAACACCCTGAGGACAGCTTGTCTGGAGGAACACCAGGCAGAGCAGCAGAGCAGGAGGCAGGGCTGGAGCACCCCCAGCCACCAGCCAAGAGCCACTCTGGCTGCAGGAACAAACTCCAGCCCCAGCAGTTTGAGGGCTGACCCAAAAGCTTCTTCATGGATAATTTTGGGGAGGGGTGTTGAGGCATCCTTGGACAGGGGCAGACTCACCCTGGCCCTGCAGGATGGGGAGATGTAGTAGTAGCTCCCCGAGTCCCCCAGCATGATGCGGTGCTTGCAGGTCCTGGGGAGGCCACTCAGAGCACATCTCCTGCAGGCAAAGGAAAAAAAACCCTTCAGCAACCTGGGGGCACAGCACAGCAACCCCACAGCCTCAGGAGATGGAAGGGGCAGCTCAGAAACCAGCCCTGCCTCAGTCAGCAGGGAGGAGGAGGGGAAAAAACCAACCCCGTGGCTGATAGGAGCCTCCTGCTCCTAGAAAGATTCCAGAAATGCCAAGTTGAAAGAGAATTTTGGTTAAATATCTAGAAGCATGAATTATTCCACGTGCCCAAGCTAGCCAAGGGAAAAGCACAGAGAAGATCCAAGAGGTGAGGCTGGAGCAGTGTGACAAGTGGCAGCTGCTCTCTCCACATCTCCTCCACCTTCCAGGCAAGGCTTTGGCCAAAGGACTTCTGCTCAGCTCCACCAGCTCTCCCCAAACAGGCTGGCTGGGGATCAAAGCTGGGCTCTGGACTCCAGCTGAGCCACACTGCACCCTTTATGCTAAGCTCCTATGAATTAATTTGGGCCTGATTTGAAGCTGCTCTAGTTGGGAGTCACGTGGAGTGACTCTGGACTGACTTCAGGGGGCTCTGGGTGAGGCTTTGGTCCCTGAGAACAAACAAATCCCTTCTCCTGCAGACAGGGAACAAGTTTGGCTTCAACAGTTCTAAGGAGATTTCAGACTGAGCAAAGAAAACAGACTCATAAAGACACCTCAGATCCCACCAAAAGATAGGGTCTTGCCTTCTCCTTCCATTATTTCCAGGACAAATGTTTCCCAGCACCAGGCAGTTGCCCTTCCTTCAGCACCACTTCAAAGCAGAATTTTCTGCTGCAGAGCCACCACAATCCCTGGAGACTCAGTGCCTGCACTGTGGGAAGAGGGACATCACCCCCCAGCTGCTCTGGAGGCCGTGGAAGATGACCAGGGATGGGAGCAGATGTTTCAGAGAGCTTCTGAGCAGGTCTCTGGGCCTGCTTCCCACTGTCACCAAGGCCAATATTGGCTGAGAGCAGAGGCATGGGCTGTAAGAAGTCATCACTGATCCAATATGAACACAACTTCAGGAGATGAAATTCCCAGGAGGTGCAGGAGGCTCGATACCTTCCTACACCAGATACCTTTAAGAGGTCCTAAACCTGAGCACTGCAGCACACTAGGGAAAAAAAGGGACTTCTGCTGGTCACTCTTGGCTTGGTTGGTACCACTTGGTGGAACCTCAGCGACCACAACAGTAGCTAGAACCTAAACCACAGCATTTGGCCACCCCAGGGCACTTTACAGGGCATGGCATCCCAAAAGCATTGTCCTCAGCACCTCCTGGGCAGCATCCTGCAGGTCTGGTAGGTCCCAGCTTGGGAAGGGAATCCAGTTTTCTCCTTTCTGGTCCACAGCCTGTCCAAAGCTGCCACAAAAATCAGCATTTTCACTTGGAAAACCAAGGGGAGCAAATCCCTCCTGGGTCCTTCATTGCCAATGGCAAAAGTCCCTCAAAATGCTCAAAATGTGGGAAGCCAAGAGGGTTATCAGAAGGTAGCTCAGCTCAGCTCTAGCCTCAGAGCTGCTGAACTGCACCAAGTTAGTGACTGGTTAAGGGATCAGAGATCTTTGGTGGCTGCCTAAAGGAATAAATGCTCCACTTCTGTTACAATTTGTGACTGGAACCCACTGGGAAGAGACAAAACAAAGAAATGAAAAGGAGAAGCCCAGGATGGGGTGTTCTGGGAACAGGCCTGACAGACACATGGAACAATTTGCCTGCAGATAACAGAAAATGCAGAAGGAAACCTGCATGAGAGCAGCATTTACTGCTAGAGGAACATCTGCACTTGGAAGGTGCTCTGCTTGGAGGCAAGGGAGGGAAGAACAACGAGAGAGAGCCCTGACTGAGCTTCAGTTCAGCCTCTGAATAAAATCCCTGTCTTCTTCTGGAACACCACCTCACCCCTGCCAGTGCTCCTCTTTGGTCAACCCCAAGTTGTCTGTCACATCAGCTTGAGCCAAACTCCACTAGATGGTACCAAAAGACCAGCAGCAAGGACAGGAGGAGAGCAGGAGGAGAGCAGGAGGAGAGCAGGAGGAGAGCAGGAGGAGAGCAGGAGGAGAGCAGGAGGAGAGCAGGAGGAGAGCAGGAGGAGAGCAGGAGGAGAGCAGGAGCATGCTTGGCTTACTTGGGTCCTCCACACTCTTCTGCTGGCACCTTCACCCCAGGCATGGTCTGGGAAGCAACAGGCTCCATGGTGAGGGTGTTCTGCTCCACGGCCACCTGCACCAGCTCTGACAGCTGCAGCAGAGAGCAAGGAGTGTGGGTGGGAAGGTGCAGAGGTCACCTCCACCTCCACCCAGGGGCTGCCAGGGTTTTGTCCTCCACACCCAGGGCTCACCTCCCGCTTGGTGAAGTCCAGACAAGGTCCTATGTCCTCTCGATAAATCCTGCCCAGGAAGGAGGAGGATTTATCCAAACTTGGAGATTCCTTCCAGGCCTGGAACTCGGCGAAGAGAATGGAGTCGACCTGCAGCAAGGGGCCAGGAGGAGTGGGAAGAGGGAAGGTGGGTGGAGGGAGAGGGAGAGACCCTATCAGGAGGTGAGGGAGAGGTACCACATCAGAAGGTAGCTGTTATCCTGCAGGCACCCTAACTACAGAACATCTCCTTCAGCACCCAGAAGGGCTCAGACACCACAGAAGTGTCTGAGGGAAGCTGGGTTGCTCCCAGGACCTTCCCTCTCCCACCCACCAGCACTTCTGTGCCAGACTGATGCAGTCCCACTGGGTTTATCCTGCCAGAAACCTGCAGGCACCTCTCAATCCCACCTACCTCTCAAT